TCATCTGCCTGGGGCTCTGCACATTTTCTGTATTTCTACATAAGCAGTTGTATTGTTTTTTATGTCTTTAAACATTATGTAATATTATTTTATGCACTGTCATCATTTTTCAAATATTGAGACTTTCATAATGTGAATTTGAACTCTCATGGTCCTGAAACTGTAATCTTATTGAAGGGGTGGATTGAGACCATCTTCTGGGTCTTCCGGAAGACAGTCAGGTTATTAAGTTTATATTGACTGGTATCTATTTTTTTCTGTTGGAAGACCATCAAAATGGAGGATGGATCAACATAGATACTTTGGAATACTGTCAGAAAATATCTGTGGGTCCGCTCCTGTTATTGACCATGTTACCTGTTGTGCAAGATTAAAATTCAGTGTTGACTGACAGTGCTATTATAAGCATTATTTATTATTGCATCAAAATTGACAAAATGACCTTTTTTGCATCTTTATTTTCTGTTTTTTGTCTGTACATTTGACAGCTTTGCTGCCTTGTTTGGTGTTTTAAGACAGTTTCTTAATGCGTGTAGGCCAAGAAGAGAGGAATTAGTGGCCATTGTTTATATATATTTTAAATCTATTTCACACTTGTAAAGGAAGACATTTGTAGATGAGTGAATCAGTTTCTTTAAGATAAACCACAAACTGTCTCTTTCTCCCATTTTCTCATCTTTTCTCTCTTTATTTTTCTATCTAGTAATTTTAGATTTTTGAGACCTACTCACCAGATGTCTGTTATGCAGATAAGTTAAATGTATAGACCGCGGTTATAATATCTCTTACTTCCTATTTTCAGTCCCTGAAATATGACACCAACTATTTCATCGAGTATTTTGCTCTGGATCTTCTGATGGAGGACGGGGAGTGTCGCGGGGTACTGGCGTTCTGTCTGGAGGACGGAAGTCTGCACAGAATTAAGGCTAAGAACACCATCTTAGCTACTGGGTGAGTGATCAGCATAGCAGAATACCCTGCTGAACCTGGTCAGCTAAATGTTTGTAGGTTATTTGATAGTTTTAGTTTCAAAGATTCACTCAATAACTGTGTAAAACAAGGATTTATCTTTAAAAAGCCTGGATAATTCAGACACATTAAAAAGCTCAGCGGTTCAATACAGAGGTTTACTGTAGAACAGCTCCAATGCTATGTGATGATTTGTATTTTTAAGTTGAAAACAGTAAGATTTTGTTTCTATGATAGGATAGTGAGGTGATAGTGACAGACATCAGTGAAGTGTCACAAAATGTGAAAGCTAAAAGCAAGTGTAAGCAAAACATCACATATCTAGTCATGGAATCATAAACTGTAAAAGAGTTAAGAATATTTTCAGATGTGTTAAAAAAATTATAATGTTTTTTTTTTTATTATTTTTTTTCCAGAGGTTATGGTCGCTCCTATTTCTCATGCACCTCAGCTCACACATGTACTGGTGATGGCACGGCCATGGTCGCACGTGCAGGTCTGGCGAACGAAGACATGGAGTTTGTACAGTTCCATCCCACTGGGATCTACGGTGCGGGCTGCCTCATCACGGAGGGGTGCAGAGGCGAGGGAGGGTTTCTGATCAATGGAAATGGAGAGAGGTTCATGGAGAGATATGCCCCCTCTGCCAAGGATTTAGCTTCTAGGGATGTGGTGTCAAGGTCCATGACTATTGAGATGAGGGAAGGAAGGTGGGTAGCATAATAATAATAATAATAATAATAACAATAACAATAACAATAATAAAAATAATAGTAACAATAATAATTATAATAACAATATTGGGTGGAATGGAGTGGAATTGAAGTCTGCTTAAATAGCTTGAAAGCATGATCTTTGACTTTAGAAAGCTTATTTTTACTGCCGGTTTTATTGGCATGCATATTTAATAATAGGGTTTAAAATCTGTTTAAAAAATATTTTTGTTAAACCTTTGTACAGCTGTAATGATATAACCATAAAAAATGGTATTTTTGGCATCTATATCAAGAAGTGAAAGCAAGTTGGAACTTCGTTGGATATTTTCTGCAGCAGCAATTGTCTTTCAAGATTTGAGGAGGCCACCATATATACATATATATCTAATGTCTACAGCCTTATCATATTACAGAGGCTGTGGGCCTAACAAGGACTATATCTATCTACATATATATGTGTATCTAATGTTGAAAGCCTTATCATATTACAGAGGCTGTGGGCCTAACAAGGACTATATCTACCTGCAGTTGCACCACTTGCCACCCAACATCCTCAGCACTCGCCTTCCAGGGATCTCGGAGACCGCCATGATCTTCGCTGGGGTTGATGTGACCAGGGAACCAATCCCTGTCCTCCCCACGGTCCATTATAACATGGGCGGCGTACCCACCAATTATAAGGGACAGGTAGATGATACAGCCAATCATTTCATTGCTTTCATTTCTAAAAGAAACTTCTTAGTCCTTCTGGGTTTTAACACCAACTACTATGATAATTCATATGTGTTTATTTGCATGCATTATTTAAGGTAAGACTTAGACCTTGTGTACATGTTAAGACATAAATAATGCATAAATAAGGCATGTTAACATACATATAGATTTACTATTTAATGGGTTGAAGCAACGCCTTAATTGTTCTAATTTTATTTTAGATAGACATTTACCAGAACTTCAAATAAAAGGAAAAAGTAACAGAGTGATATTCATGATTATATAAATAAATATTTTATTATTATAATGTTATTTGTAGGTGGTTCAATACACAGAAGAGAAGGGAGACTACATCGTGCCAGGACTGTACGCTTGCGGCGAGGCTGCATGTGCATCTGTGCACGGTGCCAACAGGTTGGGCGCAAACTCGCTGCTCGACTTGGTAGTGTTTGGAAGAGCATGTGCTCTCACCATTGCTGAGGAGAACAAACCTGGCGAACCCATTGGGGACCTCTCTGCTGTAGGTTTTTACTTCAGACTAATGATATTAATTTTTTTAAAGCTTTGTCATTTTAAGTTAAACATATTCGAAACAACTTTTGGTTTACTTGAACATAGCTTGTTTGTTTAATTTATCAAGTCATCTATTTCACATATAACTAGCAAAAATTTTATGTAGGGTGATTAAATAGAGTCAAATTATATTATGTAGAAATTACTTCAGAAGTGATAAATGTACATTATTTTATTTAGTGCAATTTTATTAATCGTAAATTTACTTGAGATGTATCTGAGCATGTTATACATAAATGGGTACTTTGCATTATTTCAGAATTCTGGTGAGGCATCTGTGGCTAATATTGATAAACTTAGGCATGCCAATGGTTCTACTCCAACTGCTGAGCTAAGACTGCAGATGCAGAAGGTATAGAAATGCTGTTTTTTTAAAAAAACTTATATCAGTAAATGCTTTTTGCAAAATGAAGTATTGTGGTTTAGTGAATAACATAAGATAAAGAAAACAATTAAAAAGAGAATTAAAGTGAAAGTTAAAAAAAAAAAAGATAAAAAAGAGCACAGTTAAATAGGGGTTGGTGGAAATTCCAGAAAAACTGCATCATCTGGTAGGGAAAAATAAATCTTGAAAATGACACAACATAGAGATCAAAAAGTTCTGAATCTGTTTGTATTATTCACCAGGACATGCAGAACCATGCTGCCGTGTTCCGTGATGGACCTGTGCTGAAGGAGGGATGCAGGAAACTGGATGCTGAGTGGAAACAGATGGACGACCTCAAGGTGAGATGTCAGTGGAGAGAGAGAGAGAGAGAGAGAGAGAGGCATGACAGGGTTAAAATGATCCGTGATGGATGAGAATGGGAGAGAAAGGGCATGGTTGTGTGTGTGAGAGAGAGGTGGTTTTTAGTGAGCAAAAATGGCAAGGGGGAGGGGGGAGATAAAAATAGAGCATGGAAACTAATAAGGATTGAAGTTCACATTTATAGTATGAAGAAAATCTTTTCTCAACACAAATTCATATGGGCTTCGCAATGATATCAGTATGTGTGTCTAATGGTCCTGTTTCTAGGCACTACGCACACACACGCACACACACACACACAGAGAGAGAGAGAGAGAGAGAGAGAGAGAGATAATAGTAATAATGTTAATAATAATCAGTGTTATATTATTCTTAGGTGTCAGACAAGAGTCTGATCTGGAACACAGACCTGGTGGAGACCTTGGAGCTACAGAATCTGATGATCAACTCCCTGGAGACCATCTACGGTGCTGAGGCCAGGACAGAAAGCAGGGGAGCCCACTCCAGAGAAGACTTTAAGGTAGACGATAATGAAATTAGACCAGAATTTTTACTTGATTTCTTGATCCTTTAATAACTTGCTTGATAAAAATATCAAAATTCAGTTAATAATGGACTTTTTTTTTATATATATTTCACAGTTGTTTGAAATATTTTAAGTTTATTGTTTAATACTTTGCTTTGGCACACACTCTCACATACACAGATGCACACACATATTTGTAGGGAAGAAAGGTAATAGAACAAAGAGATTCTAAGGCTTGGGTATCATAGAATAGAATAAGATCAGAATTTTCAAGTTGAATTCTATTAATCTGTTGCTAATGAAGTACTAAGTAACAGTATGAAAGCATGCATGCTGTTATGTGTGTGCTTGCACTCACTCTCCATAACATTAACAGCAGATAATGCAAAGATGATATTTTGTGAATTTGATGCAGATTGAATTTATTTTGAAGTAGTGATGACTGACCATAATTATGTGTTATTCTTCAGGAGCGTGTAGATGAGTATGACTACAGCAAACCTCTAGTGGGACAGACCCCCAAACCATTGAAAGACCACTGGAGGAAACATACACTGTCCTATGTGGATAATGATACTGGCAAAGTGAGTTATAGTGGAGAGAGAGAAAGAGAGAGAGAGAGAGACGGGGAGGGGGAAGAGAGAGAGAGAGTGGCGGGAAGTGAGCAAGTGAAATAGTGTGGGAGTGCAAGATACAGGAGAGAAAGATGTTATATTACCAAATTAAGTTTGTGTGGACATTAGTCAAAATTTCATGATAAGACATGCTAACCTTGATGGAGATAGATGAGTCTCTCAGCAGTCATGTAATGAGATGTCTATATTAGTAAGTTTTCTTGTTTCAGGTGCGACTAGACTACAGACCTGTTATTGACAGTACTTTAGATGAACAGAAAGTACCAAATGTCCCCCCTGCTATAAGATCTTATTAAGAGATACAGAGAGAGAAAAAAATAACATTATTTTAAGCCAGATGTGATGTGATGGTATAGTTTGCTTGTACTCTGAAGACAGATATTTTCTGGATATAGAAACTAAAGAGTTCAGTCATAGCATGGATAAAAAAGAAAAGCTGAAGGGAACAAAATTGGGTGCTCTTCTAGGTGACTTATTTATGGTTTAGGAAGATGATGTTTGAATTCCTTGTTGATACTCCAGGAGCCATATTTGGACATAGTCACTTTTTATTCAGTCAAATTGAGTGAAATATAGAGTGTTATTTGGCTTCTGAATTTGTAATATAATTTTTTCTTGGTTTATGAGTTCTGAGTCAGTCAGCAGCTGGACATTTTTAAAAAAAATTATTCATTTAAATGTGACATTAATCTGAGCAGTGCTTTTGTGTATTTTGCTTATTGCCATCTTGGGGCTGGTGTCATGAATATATCACAAGAAAACCATTGTTATTAGTGTTGTTTGTTAAAGTAACCTGTCTTTAATGGGGAGATTTACCTAACGAACAACGATAATGAGACTGTTTGTGATAGTTGCTTCTCATAACTGGCCTCAGGATGGGTAAGTACATGTAATATTGCCTACACCTGTGACCAAATTATTATAATCAACCTGGAAACCTAAGTATATTTTACTAAGAAACTAGTGAATATGTTACAGGTGCACTAAGGCCATTTGCTTTGATAATAATCAGTTTTAGTGAAATCTAGGCAGCTTTTGACATTAATTCTTTTAGCAAGACATCATCATGTTACTTGGCAAGATGTATTTGACACTTAACTGTGGGAAGAAAAATAAAGATTTACATGTATGTAGTAAACTGTTATATCATTCATGTAAAGAGAACTTCAGATTTGTAAAATGGAGATAATCTGATTGAGCTTTCCTTGGAGAAATTTTAGTGAGCATTTCTGCTGATACACTAGATTCACACAATATTCTATTTCACACCATGCAAGCAAGTTTTGAATAATTTATTTATTGTTTTGAGAAAGGAACAGTACCTTTTAAATGAGAATAACTTCTGATTAGTGATGGATGTTGTTTAATGTCAATACTGGAAGGAACTTTCATTCTCTTTTGTATAAAAATAAATGTGTTGCATATTATTTTCTAGTGTGGTTTCTTTTTAATGAAGAATATATCTGCAGACATCAGTTTGATTTTAAAAATTCCTTTAAAAAGCATTTATTAAAATGTGTTCTGGCACATTTTAAAGAGCTATTTGGGTGGTGAGAGCTAGATGTGGAATTTTATGACATGGGCCAAAAATTAAACAGTTGGTCATCAAGTTTGTTTTACTTGCCACCATGACAACAGAAATTTTCAGTCACTTTGCATTAACTTTAAAGAGAAACTTTAAGTGAGATGCTTTCCATAAAACCCATCCAAGTGCCACTATAATTGCATAATGTAAAGAAATACCAAAGAGCATCATTTCATATTTCACAAAAACGATATTTCGATGGGTATTTTCTGCTTTCTTTCTGTGATATTTAGCAACTCGTTTAAATAACTGTGCACGCAGCAGTATTGTGCCATGCACTTATTCATCAGTTTGACAGACTTTTAAGGACTGGTGGGACAGATAAGTAGGTCAATTTAACTCTAGAAATTTAAAGGAGCTGCGGTTTAAAGATCCTGTGGCTGATGTTGTCATGGCCTGTCAATCTAGTAGAAGTGGTTTATATCTGGTACAGATTATCTATGCTCACTTCATATGTAACTTTCAACTTTGGGAAAGTGAAAAAAAAAAACTACATTTTCTTTTTATAATAACATCTTTATATACAACATATTTCAACAAAATATAAATATTGATACAAGTAGCTTGTTACAAGGAAAATGCTTTTTAAATACACTTTATATAAAAGAAGTGATGCATCTTGACACTAAAGAGATATCAGTTAACATGACACTCGGAAAAATATCTTGTGAACAACTGGGCACTTCAGACCTCACTCTCAGAACATAACAACCTAAAATTTAAGTAGCACAATTTTGTCAAAATAATAATAACAGTGACAAAATATTCATGCTTCTTATTAATTCCCAGACAAAGTGTTCGCCTTAAAACAACAATAACTGGCAAACGTGTTTTGAACTAAAATCACTGCTGAATGATATGTTTAATAAACATTTAACTTTGTATTCTGAACACATTTAACTTTATACTCTGAACACTCTCCCGACTACTCTCTTGGTTAAATATCTCACACAACTGCAATGTGGCACATAACCAAAAATACTATTTTAGATGGAGGTCCAAGATCTAAGTTACTTTGCAGTAATGTACCAGGCTAAGCCAAGATGACACCCTATCAGGCACATACATAGTACTGACCAGTTATTATCAGACTATTATAATTAACATTGTAGTTTCTAAACAAGCATCATATTCCATGTAAATTTAACACCATAAAACTTAATGTCATTCACCTTTAAGTAATTGCCATACTTAACATCTAAAATATAATTGGGGTGACAGGAATTCTTTACTGGCAAAAGTACTGCCAAAATTAAACGTTCGTAGATTTCATCCTCAAATAGTATGTTCAACTAAATCACACTGTTTCACATCACATAAAAGTTGGCCACAAAACTGACATTTTTTCCTTGCATCCAAGATACACCCAATTCTTTAGCCTTATGCACAAAAATAAATAAGATATATAGTTAAAGTATATTATCCTATAATAATCATAATTATAAAAACAGCATAAGAGATAGTAATGCTACTATAATTTAGTCTGTTCTGTCACCTCTGCAGGAGAACCATTTGCACTAATGGCCTTGACCTCTGTCTGACCTTGACCCGTCTCCATTGGAGTTTCATTAGCTAGTGCCTTCAGCTCAAGCTGGTCAAGAACTTCCTGCACCGTCCGGACACAGTTCTTTCTAGCATGGCGAATTTTCTCGTCGCCATCGGACATAATACCGTCCAATTCTAAGAGATCTCTAGTCAGCATCTCTGTTAAATAAGGGTACTGTTTGTCAGTCCTCGTCCCCTTAAAGTTTTCCACTTGTACACGCAATTCGTTAACATTGGCAAATATTCTGTCAATCTTCTCTAGAGCTGTAAGAGGACGTGGTGGCTCTTGCGGCTGTTGCTGTGGAGCATTCTGCTGACCTTGACCTTGAGGACTAGATGCAGGACCCTGATTGGCTGCTCTAGCTTGTTCATTAATCACCGGTTTGGATTCGTAGTTTGGCAGAGGTGGCGCAGCATTATTGTTAGCAGCTTGTTGCTGTTGTTGCTGATATTGCTGCTGTTGTTGTTGCTGATATTGTTGTTGTTGTTGGGCCTTGACAGCATCAGTCTGGTCATACTGGGGATATTGTTGCTGTTGCTGCAGAGGATGTTGTTGTGACTGTTGGTATCCTGGTGGTGCCCTCTGTTGGGGAGATGAAGGACCATAAAATGTCCCCATGGGTGGCATCTGTTGCTGCTGTTGGGGCTGTGGAGATTGCTGCCCCGCGTACTGCTGAGCCAAGTTTGACACCCTCCCTGGCTGAGGAGCCGGACTCTCTTCCCTGACTGGTGTTGGCGCCCTCTGCAGGGTGGGATTTTCACTGCGCGGGACATGCAGCCCAGGACTACCACGACCAGGGCTTCCTCTGCCCTGGTCCATGCTGCCAGCGCCCTCTATATGAATGGGGATTTTTGTGACACGTGGCTGTTGTGGGTAAGGCGGCTGTTGCTGCGGTTGTGGCATTGGAGGGCCTTGCTGTTGTTCTGACCCCATGTGATGGACAGGGATACGGATCTCCTGCTGATGATGGGCCGGGTATCCTCTCATGTTCTGGCCATATGGATCCCATGGCTGCTGGTAGTGCTGGAAACAGAACAAACAGAATATTTGAGTTTGATGTTCTTCCACATTCAATGTACTCATATTTTATTAATGTAGGTCAATTGGCACATTTTAATTACATTATCTGGGATACTTCTTCTCTGCACTGAACACATATGACTGATGGTAACGTAATGACTCACTCTTTTCTATGGGGAAAATTGTGATTTCATAGAACTATACTGCATTTTCTCAATTGATAAAAACTTAAAATTAGAAATTTCCTATCGAGTGGCAGCAATAAAATGAGAAGCAGACTACCCCTTAGTTCTTTTCTATGCAGTAAAAGTACCACAAATGAATATATAAATATAATTTTTATGATTCTAAAATTAATTATTATTTTTTATTTATTTTTGGCCATTGAAAAAATGAGTAATTATCGTTATTTAACATTATAAAACAACATTTTGAAACAGACTGCAAACCCATACTCAAGGATTTCAATACCTAATAACCTAAAAATTCCTTACTTGAATAATTCATTAAGTTCAAACCTAAAACAAACTGCAACAGAAATTGCAAAAGTAAGAACAAGAAGAAGATAAAATCTATGACTTAAAAAGCTCCTTGGCTGGGCCACAGGCGGAAAATACACATTAACTGAATACATGGAGTTCTGTGCTAATGTTATAAAGGGATGACATGACATTTTGGCATTTATTTCAACCATGTTGCTACAGTACAGAGTCTGGATTCTCTCTTAACCCCATTAGTTACAGTATGCCTACATAGACTACACAGGAATTCATTTCTGCAGTTTCTGAAATTCCAGCCAGGAGGTTCAAGGTCATGAGTTAAGCTTGGACTATTTTAGACAAGAAAATAACCTAATTAGTTTCAATGGACAATCAGATAACCAAGGAATTCCAATAGGTATTAACTGAGGGAGAAGGGAGGATTGAATAACATCTAAGTACCAGCATATTTAAAGAACTTGGGGAAAAATCTAACATCTAAAAGTAAGATTTTTAAGCAAATTAAATACTGAATCTAACAACCGATTAAAAATGCAAGTTAGAAAACATGACAAGTTTGAATTCCCTTGGTAACTTCCGAACCTTCGACTTTGGCTTCCAATTTCTCCCTTCTGCAGAAATAAATTGTACACACAACCTGCATAATGACCATGTTTGTGGTTTGACAGTTTTTAGGTTAATGCCTTTTAAGGGTTTGGTATTGAACTAGCTCAAAAGTCCTAGACATATTCAACTTAACGCCCACTGAAAAAACTGGTCAGCAATTTGACACACTTATAAATTTTCAGAAAGTCAAAGAAAAGCCATTTTTGGCAAAGGATGTTCCTGAACCTGTGAGTGTCCAAAAATGAATGTGACAGACCTGCATTTCAAGGTTAAGAATAGCAACAAAAGTCACTGCCTAAATGGCCTCCAAACATCCTGTCATGAATTGCAAATCACCATCTCTAGCTCTACTATCAAGTCATAGTAGTACAGGTAGGTCAAATGTCCTCTAATCTATGACCAAGGTGACAATTCACCTGGACACACCTGTCCTATGAGAGGACAATAGCTGTTAAGGTGGTTTTAATCAAAGACCTTTTGATTGATTCAAAATTTGCAAACTTGTAAAAAGCAATTTTTACAAGGGGGGGAGGGGGGGGGGTCTGAAAATAGTGCCCATTTTTGCTACTCAAATCTCAAAAACATTTCCAGGTACTGTAAAATGGTTAATAGTGTAAACTACCAAGATAATTTTAATGATAAAGCAGATTCAATCATGTTTTTCAAATAGTTAATAAGGAGATTTTAAATGTTTGCTAATGTGATAGGCAAGGTCACATCTGAAAGTCTCTAATCAGTAATTAACAGGCAATAACATTTAATGTGCTATTTTTGGTTGATAAAATTTCAGTGTAGAAGGAAAAAAACTTTAACAAAATATTTTAGATTTTAAAATATTGTGAATCTTATTCCAGGATTATTGTGTTGGTTTTAAATAAATTTATGGCAGATGAATTTCAAAAATAGTCTGATAATCTAGAAAATCTCAATTTGAGTAACTTTACAGAGACATTAGACTAGTAAATGAAAATCTCCCTACAAATACACTGGGAATAATCTGTACATCAGTGAAACTGTCAGTACGCTTGCACTCAAAGCTGACCAAGCATTTTTCAACATACCTTTGAAAATGGGCATTTACTGATAACTTTTTGGAACGGAGAAGAGGAGGGGCTCAGTCAATTCATCAATCTCCATCACATACATTATTCATCAATATGGAGATCACGATAAGTTTAGAAGCTAATTTCGTGATATGATTTTTTTCTGACAGAACTCGCCGATCAAACCTCGAAGTCGAAGGTCAATCAACACAAGGTTATCGATCAGTACAGGTAGCTGATCAACAATTTCACTTTAAATCGAGTCTTAAACCACCTTAACAAAAACGACTTGTCTTTTTTCCTTAAAAAAAAAAACAACAAAAAATTTAAAACTCTAAATACATACCGGTTTTCCTATTCTTCTAGGATCTTGCCAAGTTGTGCTTTGGTTCGAGTGGTCAACAAAAAATGGCCAACCGGTTCGCTGATCAAATAACATTTCCCAGCCTGGCGGTAAAGGATCGTTATGCATTGGATTGAAGTTATTCGCTCGTTGTTGGTGATACATTGTCCTCCTCGATCCCCGGCTATTCTTTTATATATGGCAGATTTTCCAGAGGACCACAGAACCTTCTTTAACTTTCGGGAAAATTCCTCATTCAGTGGCCATCTTGGGAATTTTATCGGAAATTTGTCACACTACGTTTGATTGGTTAGAATAGAGTACTTGTCCAATCAAACAGCGGCTGTCAAGTAGACCTAGGTTACACAGTTTGAATAATGCCCGCGTGATGTCGCTAGTGGTTAGGCAAATTGCTTTGGGTGCGCTGGGCGTTGAAGCATTTTGATTGCGTTTGTCATATTAGTTGTGACGTAGTTTCTACCATATATGGATAGTGTAACCCGTGTCACAGCCCAGGGAGTTTACAAACACGCAAAGTGAACAAAACAAACAACCAAATATTTCATTAGCGAATTTTATTTTTCGTAACAGGTTTAATTAAAATACGTCAACATTTTCCTGTTGATGTTGCTCCACCTAAAAGATTAAATTGTCGAAAACAGCCGGTTTTGTACCTCTGAAAACGGTGTCCTCTAAATTGAAGGAGCTTCATCATTTTGATTTATTGATTTTCAAAAACATTGTGTCTCAAAGTTAATTATCTGGCCTATTATTTGTACTCATAATGATAATTGTGTGCTCAGCTATTTCGAATTCAATACGCGAAGTAGCTTAATTATATTTATAACCAAACAATGCAAAAAGCACTCCATTAAATTTCCATTCAATGGCACGAAAAAAAAAAAAAAAATTGAAAAATAAATATATGTAAAGGGGCGGGGGGGGGGGGAGAAAATGAAAAAGAAAGAAAAAATATGAGCAAAAAAGGGTCATTTTTACTTGAACAAGTAGGGATCCAAAAAATAAATTAAAACGTCTCTCAATGAACTAATGAACATGTAAGGTGGAGGAAGATCTAAACCGCTATCGACATAACGAAAACTACTGCCACATGGCACTAGCCACTCAAACCCCGGGTAAAAATCCATGTTAACATTTTGAAAAATAAATAAATAAATAAGTAAATAAATAAATAAATAAATAAGAGAGAGAGAGAGAGAGACAGAGAGTGAGACCACATATGAGAAATATTCTTACTTCACTTTAAATGGATGCTTTCTTGATAAAATGGTACTTCACTGTTTTTTTCTGGTAAGGGTACGGGAATGTCATATCTATATGTTATGCTGCAACCCTCATGCGATATATCGGATGGCTCGGAAAAAAAAAGAAAAAAAAAAAACGTTAGTAGTATCAAAGTTCAATAACTTCAACAGTTTTAATAAGACTGAATGAAATTTGGAATATTATAAGAAAAATAACGTTTTCAATAACTGCTAAAAAATTCATAAATTTGCCTTTCTTAGTTTTATTTGTTTCAAGAACTATAATTAACTTCTTGTTTGGTCAGTAACCCCCAAGAGTACATTGCGTAATGCGGAGTGCCTGCTATATTTAGAACGAACCAAGCACTCATATGCGATATGTTACTGACCTATTTTTTAAACACCCCTGTAACTGGGTCAGGTATTGTAAGTCTAGAATAGTAGAAGCATATGGCGGTGGTCGTAAGTAATTTTGTTAACGGGGAGTTTGTTGCAGCGCAGGATTACATCGACAGTATTAACCCTGCAACTGGAGAGCTATGGGCAAAAATACCCAATTCTACTGAAGACGAGGTGAACGTGGCTGTTGCAGCAGCGAAAAATGCCTTTGAAGGGTTAGTGGTTTTGGCAACTTGCACACACCTTGTATTGTTGTTGTTGTTGTCATCACTTTATCGCTTGTAGTGCTGTTTAAAGTCCGGAATTAAGATCACCACTGGATCTGAAATTTCCAGACTTCAATTTAAGCGATAGATTATTATTATTACTTTGGATCAGAAACTGAATGCAGTTAAAGACAATTAGTTCACATTGACTACATATGCAGTTAATGCAGAGATGCCGTTACCTCGGGACATTTAAAATTCTAAAATTTTGCTGGGGGTGGGGGGGGGGGGGGGAGAGGAGGTTGGAGGAGGGGGTAGCGACCACTCTCCCCCCTCCGCCAAACAATAACAACAGAATTATGCAGTTTTCAAAAGATTATTCTGCTGACAAATCGATTTTTAACATTTTTGCGTGTTATTACCAATAAAATATAAATACAACTAAAATAATAATAATAACAATAAATAGTAATTTAAACATTTGCAACTAAATATGGGAGGCACCACTTCAACTAGGGGAGACCAAGGTTGGACCCTGGGGTAAGTTGGCCCCCCATCAATTTATGAAAAACTAAATTTAAGTAACTATGGGGTTAAAGAATTGATCACATCGTTTTCTAAAGTGACCGTATCCAATAGTGCTAAGAAAGTGTCAGCTGTGAGTCCAAATGAACTAATTAAGCATCTTAAAGTAACTTTATTAAAAAGACTTGATGGGGGTCCAACTTACCCCGGGGTCAAACTAGTCCCGGTCTCCCCTACCTTAAGTTACGAGGGGGTGTGCCAAACATTTAAACTGCTTATTCTGAATACAATTTAACAAGAATCCACAAGCAGTTAGATCGATCCAGCTAGTATGATAGGTTATGGGAATGGTCCCTAAGTATTGAAATGTTTTGGAATCTGTCGTTCATTTGGACTGTCCACAAATATATTACAATATGCGTTATTTATTCATTTATGTATGTAATTTATTTATGTAATTTATTTATTTATTTATTTATTTATTTAATTTTAGTTGGTCAACTACAACCATCCAAGATAGGAGTAAAATCCTGCAAAAGATTGCAGACCTGCTTGAAAAAGAACTTAAAGAATTTGCAGAGGTAGAGTCTAGAGACCAAGGCAAACCTGTCTCGCTGGCCACCAATATCGACATCCCTCGTGCTGTATACAACTTCCGTTTCTTTGCTACTTCTATATTACATATCAAGTCAGAGTAAGTTATTTTAAAGTATAGTAAAATCATGATAATAATAGCAAATAAAAAAAAAAAACATTAAGCTGTTCAGCGAGTAGTTTCACCAATTTTATTTCTGCTAAGTATTTTGTGAAAAAAAAAACTGATATTGATAACCATGCATGCTGATTTTTCTACACAAAAACAGTTATTTTTCCGTAAATGTTGATAACATTAATTGAAAGAAACAACTTTTAATGTTGGAAATTGTCAATCAAGAGTACATATACAAAGCCAACTGAAGTTTTCCCATCCCCAACATTTGCACACCCTTTGGTGGTGCACATTCCTGGCAATAATGTGATTTATTTTGTAGTTTATTTTGTGAATTTCCTAAAGCTTTTCTGTTGCACATTCCTATAGATAGCACTGTTTCTGTCAATTACAGTTAATGTAAATTTCCTTACAGTTGCACATTTCTAGATGGCGCTGGTGCTGTCAATTATGTACAGCATGTGCCAGTGGGCGTGGCAGGCCTTATCAGCCCATGGAACCTGCCGATGTACCTTGTCACATGGAAGATAGCCCCCTGTATTGCCTTTGGTAACACGTGTGTGGTCAAGCCCAGCGAGATGACCTCCGTGACAGCTTTCATGCTGTGTAAAGTTTTCCAAGATGCAGGTAAATGACTTCAACAAGGGAAATTGATTTCTGTTAAAAAACTCCAAAAGCTCTCAAGAGAGTAAAAAACTCCAAAAGCTCTCAAGAGAGTGCAGACTTCTGCTTAAGATCTGCTTCTGACCAATCCTGAAATTTCATTAAAATCCATTTGTAACTTTTTGAGTTAGGCTGGTGACTAACAAAGAGACAGACGGACAGAAATACAGAATTTGGCAAATGAGGGTGGAATCGTAACCACCTTGGCAGAGATAATAACAGGACTGTCTACAGTTTCTCTTCTTACACCATTCAATACCAGGACCTTACAATGTGATTGTATCTGATAGGTTGTCTTTTATCCAATCACAGGTCTTCCTCCTGGTGTAGTAAACATGGTATGTGGGACTGGGCCACGAACAGGCGAGGTGATTATCCGCCACCCAGATGTCCCTCTGATATCGTTCACTGGAAGCACAGCCGTTGGCCGCCATATTCAAGAAGTTACAGCACCAAACACCAAGAAACTGTCGCTTGAGGTGAAAATTTATTCAGTAAAATTTTATGATTGTTAGAAGATATTTTTTCATCAATATGCTGAAGAATTGTGAAAAACAATTGTGAATTGTGAATTTTGTGTATCAAAATTTGCTCTGCAGTTAATGATAATTGCAGTGGATTTTTCAAATTTTCATTTTGTTTTGTTTTAGCTAGGAGGAAAAAACGCAGCCATAATCTTTGAAGATTGTGATTTGGCTAATTGCATAACTACCACTCTAAGGTAATGTTGTGTATTTCGTGTATCAGTATATTGTGTTTATGCATGTGAGTGTGTGAGTGCATGTGATTGACATTGATTGTGTGGTTACAAAGCAAACCTTCCTGTGTGCAGATCAGTTTACTTTGTTTTAAATAATCAGGTTTCTGATTAGTAAGGTAATTATTTTCTTTACATTATTTTGCTAGGTGGTTTTAAAAAGAAATTGAAATTGTTGCTTTTTTATGACCAGGTTTCTATTATCTGATCTGACTTCATAGTGAACGTTTTCATTGATCCAGTTATATTATAATAATACAGTGAAAAAAATCATTCTGAAAATGGATCTAACATGGAAATGAAACTCACTGTGTTTTGACTTTATGACAAGGCCTTCTGGATGTCTGGCTGAAAAAGGCCTTGTGATGAGGTCTGAAGATCAGGATGTCTGTTTCAGTGTTTATGGACTGTGCATTTAAACTTCCCTTAATGCTCTCAAAGTGATGTCTGTTTGTTGAGGAAAATATGCTGTAAATGTTGGCCATATACTTTAGTTCCATACATGAAAATAAATCAACATATTCTTTCGTGCGTTTATATTTTTGTTCAGTATATGATCCAGTATTAGAGTTAATTGTTCAAGATTTGACTGTTTATTGTTATTGCAGTTGGGCTTTGTCTGGTAGGCTATTGCCAGCTTAGCTCATTTTCTTGTTTTTTTTTTTTTTAATGTATATTAAGCCAAAAAAGATAAGAAAAAGAATACATTTGCTTAATCTCTTTGCTTGTCCTCACAATTTGCAACAGTTCCCTAAAATCTTCTTGAATGCATTGAAACAACTAGTTCCTCTTTAAAAAAACTGTAAATTACACGCAATTAAAAAAATTCAAATTTTTTAATTAATTTCAGGTCTTCCTTCACAAACCAAGGAGAAGTCTGCCTTTGTACCAGCCGTATATTTGTCCAAGAAGGAATATACTCAGAATTTATTCAGCGATTTGTTGAAGCATCCAGGTGTGTAAGGTGTTTGAGTTATATGGGTGTGTTTTGCCATTGTGGTAGGTGAGATGGTGTCACAACTGATGCATTGTTGTGATGAATTTTGGCATAAGATAATATCTTTAAGTATTGTTTGTGGAGTTATCAGGTGATACATGATAAATTTAAACCTTTTGTGCAGTATGTGAACTAGAGAGCCTGTTCATGTCATTAAACTTATTATTTTTTAAACTTGCAATTTGAATGAATAAATAAAATTGAAATGTATGTAAGCTATTGGCTGGTATTGGCATTATTATCTTGACTTGTAAAATGTATGCTTTTTGGTAAAAATACCGAATGTATTTTATTTTTACTTTTTAAATATTAGGTCAGTTAATGACTGCATGTGCAAAAATTTGATTTAATGTTCCTCTAAAGAAAACATACTAAAACTGGTTTTTAAGGAGACCAAATGTCTGGTCTAAAAAATTATCCTAAATTTTCTGACTGAAGAGCATTCTTAAGCCTGTTCTTTGTTCATTTTCCAGACAGTTGAAGGTTGGCGATCCCACCACTAATGTGAACCTGGGAGCTCTGATAAGCGCCCAGCATCTGAACAAAGTGAAGTCCTTTGTTGAACTTGCCAGGAAAGAGGGCGCCACCATACAGTGCGGTCAGGGCGTCGATCAGCTCAACTTGCCTAACCCCGAGAATAAAAATGTGAGTCCAGAGGACTTAACAATTACTTGGAAAAGCATCATTATATGTACCTCTACCAATGCTGGTTTGTCTGTTTGTTAGTGGATAAAAAATCTCAAAAAGTATTTCACAATTTTCCGTATACATAGTAAGAGTAGAATGAAGCTGTTCAATTTAATATTTTTAAATTAATTTTTGTTTCTGTTATCCGTTTCTTTAATAGTTTGTTTTTTTTCTTTAAAATTTTTGCAGAGGTCTGGGCTCTTGGCTCTCACTAAGCCTTAAAAAAAATTGAAATGTATACTGAACTTTGTTTAGAAATATATACTTAAATTTTTTTCACACGTTTGACATCTTAATTCTTACAACTTGTATGGTATAAAGATGCTTAAGTTTACAAATGATTTGTTAATCAGAGTATGTGTTATTTCAGGGGTACTTTTTCCTTCCCACAGTTATAACAAATGTTAGTGATTCTTCGGAGCTGATGCAGAGCGAGATTTTTGGACCAGTGGTGTGCATTGTACCATTTACCTCTGAACAGGAGGTATGTAAACACATACCCTATTGGTTGAAATGCATAACATCATAAGAACTTAAAGCTTATTGGTTGAAATGCATAACATCATGAGAACATAAAGCTTATTGGTAGAAATGCATAACATTATAAGAACACAGGGCTTATTGGTTGAAGTACACAACAGAAATCTGATGTAATAAGTTGCAAAATTCTTAGAATGGAAGCAAAACCCAATTGCGTGTGTGTGTGTGTGTGTGTGTGTGTGTGTGTGTGTGTGTGTGAGAGAGAGAGAGAGAGAGAGAGAGAGAGAGAGAAGAAAATTTGGAAAGCTGTCAAATTTGACTCATGAAAGAAAATTCAGTCAGATTAAAAAGCATCTTTATTTTTAATATATTTGAATATAATTATTTATAAAATTGGAATTAATCAATATCTCTTGTAATAAAACAATAACTGCAAAAAAAAAAAAAAAAAACAGAGGGAAAGAATGAGAGAGAGGTTGAACATGTGACTTCTTGCGTACAAATAAATGTCAAAAACTGTTGTGAAAAAACTTGGAATAAGTTTGGCTCAATTACCAGTACTATTATCTAGATTAATTCATGGATAGTCTTCTTATTTCTGACAGGTAATTAAAAGAGCCAATAACTGCAGGTATGGTCTGTGTGCCACAGTGTGGACTAAGGATTTGGGCAGAGCACAGAGAGTGGCACGCAAAATGGAGGTAGGGAACAAGTACAGGTCGATTTCAATCCTGTAACTTCCAATTATGTTTAAGCATTATTCGGACTGCAGGCTTTAGGCCTTTCCAGATGTTGAGACGCAATCACGTTGTCGTGTGATCACTGGCGTGGACACAGCTTGCTGTTTAAAACCTGTGGCTTACTTGTTGTTAATATCATCAGCAGTGGATTGTTCTTTTTGGGAAAGCAGCAGGAGTCATGGCAGAGTTAATGTCATCAGTCTAGTATTATAGCTTTGTTGTGAAAGCACTCTAGAAAACGTGAGGTTGGGCTATTTAGCAACAATCGCGGTAAAACGCTATGTGCCAGGAATATCGTCATAGAAAGCAATACAAAATTTAGATGCAAATTGAGGTAAATGCATACTGTCCATGCGGACTGGTTGAGTCAATTTATATGCTGCCATCATTCCAGAATTGGACAGTTCCATAAATACCAGGCATAGATTGTTAAGTTGGGAAGTCATGTTTTTCAAGGAAATCGGGCAATAAAATCGAAGCCTTAACGTGTTTAAGCAATAGGTGGGGAAGGGGGGGGGGGGGGATCTCCTGAATGGAGGCTATTCACCTGGATAGCCTCATTCCCTGATGAAGGTGCTCTGAACGAAGTCGAAATATTGGAGGTAAATAATTTCAATATTTAGCTGTTGATTGAAGAAAAAAATTTCTTTATTCTTATAACAGAACGCAGCTGATGGAATTTCTTCACATGTCTATCTTTTCTTTAACTGATCTAATGCGTTTTATAATTGGAATCTTTAAATATAATGTACATTTAACCTTTCTAGGTGGGCACAGTGTGGACCAACTGTTGGCTAGTGCGGGACCTTAATATGCCTTTTGGAGGAATGAAGGATTCTGGGATTGGCCGTGAAAGCGCCACGGACTCTCTGGAATTTTTCACCGAGAAAAAGACCATTTGCATGATGATTGGAACCTAATCTGGTATTATTATTATAAAATTATCATTATTATTAATATTGTCTCTTACCTTTAAATAGGAAGTTATGGTTAAAGGTAAGCACTGGAGATATACAACAGTGTAATTCCAATCTCAGTTTTTAGAAATTAAAAAAAAAAAAAGAACTGAAAAAAAAAAAATAACTAAAAAAAGACCACATCACTGTTTAACATGCTAAATATGAAAGAACCAATCAGGGTTCTGCAGACCGCTGCATATGCATTTGTAGCATAATGCGACGGAGGTTTTATTTTACTCCCAACTATTATTAGTGGCACAGTAGGCCCTACTTATCCTGAGTTTTAGAGATCACTGGAATCATGTCTCTGATATGAACACATATTTAGAACTCATAGTATCTGAAAGGCAGCTATTGCATTGTGGGATCGATTTTCACGAGTGAGGCTCACTATGCCGTTTTTGTATTGAAAAATGAAAAAAAAAAAGTATTACTTTTGTTTATGGAAAGCTGTGATGCTGTAACGTTATGTATTATCGTTTTTAGAAATGTACGGAATCAAATATTATGCCTTTGTTGATAGAGCGGTAGCAGTATTCACGAAAGATGTAAAAAATGTTCTTAAATTCAGTTTGGGTCATAGAAGCAGCAAGTTTTAATTTATTTTCTTTTAATATTTACATTGTACGTGTATTTGGTTTACACAGGAAAGTATGACAAAATTACTTTTTACATGCTAGTCTTTTAAAACCTGGTTATCGATCATTTGTTACATACTGAAACAATTTGTTTTTTTTTTTTTTAATTTATTAATTATTTGATTTTACGGATGAATACTTTACTTTGCATTACAAGAGGTGTTTTTGCTTTTAGTCATTTATACGTATATTTTTCAAGATTATCACAACAATGAAAAAAAAAGGAAAGAAAAACAAAAAAATCAGGAACGTTTCCAGTTGTTACGCACACTTCAAGTTTAAGTATCACATGCGTTTTTATTATATATAATTATAATGAATAAATGGTGGACACTGCTCGAACATTAGTCCTCTTAGATAAGGATGTCCGCTGTATATTGTTGAACATAACCGTTGTTGTGTTAAGTGGGAATCGCAACGGATTCCTTGTAAATCCCCCCCCCCCCCCCCATCCAGCTGTTTGATTATCTTATGTTGGTCCCCATTGGAGTTATACTTATATACATGTATGAATAATAAGAGATGAGGTAAAGAGCTACATCGTTCTTTTGCATGTGATTGGACGGTTTTCCCGAGAGTCGTTAACTTCATACACATGGCAACCATAATAGCTAAACGCCCTTTTCCCTGTTGCAGAATCTTTGCCCAAGTTTAAATTTGCGAAGGAAGGCGATATTTCGCTTGGGTATACTCCCGATAGCGCCATTGTGACCTCAAAACTTTGCTAACGTTCGTAACCAGTGTCACCTGTTTTTGTTCCATCTGTTCAGTTCACTTTTGCGATTCACTTATCGAGGTTTGGTTGCCCCGATCTGTTTTGACAAGTGTTGTGGTGTTTTTCTATGTATTTGGGTTTTTAAAATGACCAAAATGCGCCCTATTTTGACGTCCTGAATATGTGTGTGGGTGTGAACAGGCGAACGTTCGGTCGAATATTATTGCCAATTGTTTTGAAAATATACCAGTTTCATGAAAACTCCCCTTTCCTCTTAATGATTTCAGTGTTCTCTTTGCAAGAATCTCTGGCGGCGCTTACTGGCCGATCATGTAAAGGTTGCAATAGCATCCCTTATCACCATCTCATTTTTCTTTTCTACAAAACGCAAACGCGATTGTGCATTGTCACGATTTGAGCTTTCCAGCACGTAATTATGACCAATTTTCTTTGGCTCCGATGACGAGGTGTTACAAAAATACTCTAGATCTGATTTCAATCTTTCTCTTAATCCTGTGGACCAATTTTATCTTTGCGTGTTTGTTTTGTCATATTCGTGTCTTGTTAGACGATGATTTTCAAAGGTTCAAAGTATTTGCCCAGAAAAGCTTATAGGCCCACGTAAATAGCGTTTGGTAAGAAATTTAAGGAATTTAACAGGATTTACAAGTTGTAAAAACCGCTGACGAATTGTGACAAAGCAAATGGTTAAGTTATGCAACTGTTTAACAAAAAAAAAAAAAAAAAAAAAAAAAAAAAAAAAAAAAAATCTGAAAACGAAGCATTCACAAAAAAAAAAAACCTTGCATCGGCGCGATCACACGTAAGGGATTCTTTAAAACTTCAAAACAATTAGTTGATAAATATATTCGAAATTGTTACAGAGAAGTGACATTTGCTACACCGCAAAAGAGTGAAAAGATTCTAAAAGTCGAAGAATAAGATGTTACTGTTTTTATAACAGGCGATCTTTTACATATACTTTTAGTCTCAAATATGTATTATATTAATAGAGAAAATTGATCCAAAGTTTAAAGTTGAAAATTATATTTGATATTTTCATCGTCTTACATTTCTCATCATTAGCACTCTCAGTGTCTCTTCCTTCTGTTATTTAGTAAGGAATCATGAAGGCACCGCGAAATCACTTACAAATGTAGTACCCCAATGTTTTCCATTCCTTTTGGTTGTTGCATTACAAGTAATAGCATTTCCTTATAAAGTACCTCAACATTCTAAATCACAACTCTTTGGTGATAAAACAAAAGTACACCGCATACATCTATGTGCAATCGTCTAATCGATGCCCAAAACTACAAGCAATCTCTCTCTCTCTTTCTCTTCAACAACTAGAAAAACACTCCGAGAGCACAGACCTCGGCCAAGGCAGCGATTTTTTTTTTATTATAAATGATTATTGACTGATCATTAATCCGGATCGACACCAAAAACTAATAATCTCTTCCTTGGCCCACTTCTGACAGTTCCTGAAAATATCATCAAAATCGGTCCATAACTTTTTGAGTTATGTTGATGACAAACAAACAGACAGACAAACAGTGGTGAAAACAACCGGAGGTAATAAAATGGAGGTAATAAAATTCATGTATAAACTACTACTGAGTAATGTGTCAGTAAGCTAAGGTAAGCCGACGAATGATTACTGTCTTAAATTTGAGAAAAAAGTACTTGCCAGTACCACGGACATTACAATATTAGTCCGTCTAATACTGGGACCACATTTAAAGATCTGATGCACCAAAACCAGAAAAGAGTGCCATGAGTGTGCTGTTAAACTGCTCCTGATAGGGTAAGACTTGCCCATGCGACCTTGGAAATTGAGTTCTTATCCAGGGAACCTGACTTAAGTTTATTATTATTATTATTATTATTATTGTGTGTGTGTGTGTGTGTGTGTGTGAAATCGGGTCCAGGAACCTAAATTGTGGAGAATCTTTGAAAGGGGTTAAAACGCCTTGGAGAAATTTCACGTTAGAACCCATCAAAGTGGACAGGTCAATTTAAGTAAACACAGTTTTATGGTTGTGAATGTTCATCGGCATGAGGTGTCGGCAGTTTTTACCAGAACGTGATTATACAACTATTCCTCGATGTTAAATGTATCTCAGATACTTTAATAAATACACAGTGAATACGCCAGCAACTACCATAAAAGAGAAACCGGGCGTTGGGGCGTCGTCTTTTGCTCCATGACTCAGCTTTGGATATTCACCATTGTTCCGAGTTTCATTCGGACTCGTCTCTGGGTAAAAAAACGCGACTCTCGCCGTGAGCGGAACCCCACTAAATACAGAAATATGCGAGCTGCCAAAAAAGGTATTCAGATTGTTCTTCAGGGAAAAAAGCATTTGGACGCCCTCGTCGTAGATGGACAATTCTTTATGCAGGGAGAAAATGACCTCCATGTCAGTGCTTAATGTGGCGGGATCGGTCGCACAAGGGGCACCGGCTGCCGCATCTGAAAGAAAATACGCGAAGGCTTATTAATGCAATCAGTTTTACGTCATTGCCGTGAAAGCCTGTGGTACAGATTTTGAATGCTAGTTTAATTGATATGGCAATTGCTCGGGGGTCCTGAATCATTATGTATAAAACCAACAAAAATACTGTTCGAAATAATAAAAACAAAAACGAAAGAACGGATCACTTTTGCAACTAACCTTTCTGTTTCTGAAATGTATTAAATAAACCATAATACTAAAGGGACGCATACCTTTGGGTACATTTGTGAACGCTGCCATAGCCCCACAACCTCCGGAGCTCTCCCACTTACATTGATCTTCATACAGAACGAACGACCAACCCTGAACGCGGAGTCCCTCCAAGAAAGAGTGCTGCCTCCGAAACCAGATGGAAAACTGTCCACAAGTGGCATTGGCTGAAGCAATGTCTCCGTCGTTGGTGGCGCCTCCCCGCGGAATGGTAAGCCGAATTTGGATGAGGTACGTGGTACTGTAGAAAGCTTCGAAAGGTGCCCATCCCTCACCAGTGGACCTCGTCTCGGCGTCCTGAAAAATATAGACTATACAGCAAAACTGGCAAATATGCAGACACCATAAAACAATGCAAAAAATATTGAAAATATATATGGCAATGCAAAATAAAACGGCCCGAATTCTGACGACACAAGATCTTTTACGCGAATAAATAAAAGTTGAAATTGTTAAAACGTATTTTCCTTTACACTTTTTAAAATCTTTTAATTAGAATGCGCATTTGTGTTTAATTCTGTTATCTATTGTTCCATTTGATGAAGACTAAAAATTATTGATATCAATATTGCATTTTTATGAAGTCAGTTCTTTAAAAGTAAAAAAAAAAAAAAAGTTCACAATATTTGTTCTCTTTGCGTTTATAGGGTTTCCTTTTGTACTCGATAAACGTTTGGAGATCGATAAAGGAAAATTCCAAGATGTCTTCTACGAAAAACGGGTGGTAAAACTACAAAGACGAAAACGACGATTTATTTTAAAATGAATGAAAGTTCATGATACCTTTAAACCTTAGAGAACACATAAACTGTAGGCCTATGTTGAAATAAGTTCACCAGTTTGGTAATAATCACAAAATAGATGACGAAAGAAAATTTGCGATTTCACCCACAAAGAAGAAGAGCATAATCTAGTAACGACAACGACTGAAAATATTGTTGTACTTACACTTAACATCCGGGGACTTAAAAGGGCAGAAAACCCAGTTGGATTAAACGTTCGTCGATCTGGAAATGAATGACTTGTCCTAAATTTG